GAAGAAGCCGTGACTCCAGGCAGTGTGTGCTGGAGCAGTTCGTGTGTGAGGGAAACTGCAGCTGTGGGCAGACCCATATTGGACTTTTGAGGACTTTCTCCCCTATGGAAAAGGAGGGGCCACGTGGAAGCAGAGAGAGATGCTGGGCCAAGTTTTTCCTGCTCCTGAGGGGCACATGGTGTGAAAACCGACTGCAACCCCCACTCCCATCCCCCTGCGCCTCAAGGCAAAGGGGGAGGGGGAAGGTGAAGAAACTGGGAACAAAAGCTGAGCCCAGGAAGAAGGGAGAGGTGGGGGGAAGGTGTTTTGATTTTAAGATCTGGTTGTATCTCCCATTGTTCTACTCTGATGTTGATAACAAATTAAAATTGTATTGGTTTTATTCCTTATGATGAGTCTGTCTTTTGCCGGTGACCTGTTTAAGTGGTGAGAAGCCCTCCCAGTCCTTATTTTGACTACCCCTTTTTGGGGCATCATGGTGCTCGGTTATGCACTGGGCCTAAACCATGACAGAGGTTCAACTTGAAGAGAAGGAAAAGCTTTTTTACTGTGAGGGTGACAGAGCACTGGAACAGGCTGCCCAGAGAGGTTGTGGAGTCTCCTTCTCTGGAGACATTCAAAACCCACCTGGACGCGTTCCTGCGTGACCTGGTCTAGGTGATCCTGCTCTGGCAGGGGATTGGACTGGATGATCTTTTGAGGTCCCTTCCAGCTCCTAATATTCTGTGATTCTGTGATTCTGTGAAGCATCCTCCAGGAAAGGCTTCAGGATCTTTGGGGCCTTGTCTTGTTGGAATGTTGCAAAGGAGAACGAGGAGTGACCAAACAGGCAATACATATGATTGGGGTCCAAGACTCAAACTGTTCCCTGGACTTCTTTAACAGTGCAGTCTTACCTTTAGCATGCTTTATGTCTCCAAACGTAAAGAATGCCAATCAATCACGTCATTCACTAGTGGGGACCTGAGATGCTCTTAAGCCTCACAGCAGCATTATACAATAAATACATACATAAATGTACGTATCTTTAGCTGTAACAAAAGAAGTTGCATAAATTACAGGCCACTGGATGACAGGAAACTAGTAAAATAATGATGACAGGACCCTGCTGCCATAAGCAACGCAAAATTTCGATGTTGCAGTGGAGCAAGGCTAACTGGGAATGCTCATTGAAGCCTAAGCAGGTACTCTACATGATTTCAAAACATTTTTCAGAGAATTGCTCGTATTTTAGTTGGGGCTGCATTCATAATATAGTTGGATACAATCAGAGATGCTTTAAGCTCTTTGCAATGAAAAGGCTCAGGCCTTCCCAAAAACCTACTCATGTGCAAGGCACTCAGAATTACTTAGTAGCACCACTGGCACAAAAAGGGTTCTCTAGGAATACAGAAGGGTCTAGATATTCATCATGCCTTCATTTTTTATGGAGGTGATGTCCATTACAGGTCTGAAATGGATTAATATCAGAAATATTTTTCAGTAAAGGCTTAAGAGTAGGGCTGCAGGAATACTGCAGTCCTTAACTGTAAACTGAATAACTGGAGCTCAGAAAGTCAACTGGTGCCACCAGAGCCTGAAGCAAAGGAGAGTGAACCATTCTCCCAAGGACAGTCTTTGCTCTAGACAGTGAGCTGGGATTACCAAATAGGTCAGTACTGAGTACAGTGAGCCCGTCACCACTGCAGGGTGTACCTGAAATACCACACTCTGTGCCAAGAAGCTGATATAAAGCAATCCAAGCAGAATCAGAAGAGCTAGTCATGGGCTTCCACAAGAGCCCAACTTAGTAACTAAGGAAACCTTCTTCTACTCTTTTTCTCTTGTCTTTGAAAGTATGTGATTTCTTGATTGTTTTTTCTCTGAGATTTCATCAGAGGTTGACAGTAGGTTTTAAGAGTCAGGTACCAGAACACTTCTGGATGTTAACTGCTCTGAAACTGCTGCTGCAGATGTTTTGTGGACTTCACAGAAATACACTAATCTCTCCAGCAGGATCACACTTAGCCAAGGCATCCCTCTTTCTCTTAGTTACAGAATTACTTCCTGACATCCTTCCCAGTGCTGTGTCCTTTCATCCGTGTGCAAGACACTCCAAGGAAATAAAAAGATGCTCAAATGTCACAAATATCATATCCTCAGTTGGAGGCAGCCTACAGCAGTGGTCAAAAGAATTTAGCCATGACAACACTGGGTGACCAAGCTCCAGCAATAGGATAAATGTGATCACACAAGTGAGAAGTAACAAAGCATTTGTCACTTAAACACTGGTAGTTTGGTTTTTGAAACGCAGTTCAGTATTATACACACATATACATGTTCAGATATTCGCACAGGGCAATCTTCATTCTTTATATGCTCAACACTACATGATTAATGGTAAAGTATGTTAAAAAATATCACAGCTGTTTTGCTTTCATGAGCTGCTTCTATACAACAGTTGCCATACTGGTATCGTAACACCATAACACAACCTTGCAAAACAAAGGATTTTAATCATTCATCCTTGATGTTTCAGATTTCCTGTCCCTATTTATCATCAGTTACAATACAATTTCTGTATGTAATCCCCAACAAAACTACACTGTTTGGCCAAATTTGCAAATGAAAATGTAAGTTCTAACGCATTAAACTTCCAGCTCCCAAAGGACATTGTGAACTACTGTCATACAATGAACAGCATTCTTATGAGTGATGAAGATTATAAATTACTATGACATACAGTTATGCAAGATAATGTCCTAGGCTTGCTGATGTAATTCCCATTGCATTTGAAAATCCACATCCCTGCTTTTGCTAGTGCTGAGTCTGGCCACAACATTTACTGTAAATGCTAATCAGATGAGCAGGGCAGTTGGGACTGAGTGCAAGACAGTACTACATCTTACCTGTGCTTTGCTGTATACGTTCAAAAACTGAAATGGTGTCATCACTCAGGAAGTAGGAAATAATGAATTTACGATCCTTGTCAGCAGGACTATCTGTGACGAGTTTTGCAACAAAGCGCAGTATGTTACTTTCCATGCCATTTCTAAAAAGCAAAAGAAGAGGTAAGAAATCAAAAACAGAGTATGAGAAGTTTTGATCACTAAGAGATGCATTCTCCTGAGTTTTGCAATGTTAATTGTGTTATTCCTGGACCAAGAAAAGAAATGGCATAAGATTCTCTGCTTTGTCAAAAACCATTTTCAGCTTAAATTAACAGAAGGAGCTAGAGTCAGCCAGATGTAAAGGAGTAATTTTCAGGGGGAAATTACTTCTCTGTCACAGGTCTGGACTAAATTTGTATTCAAATTCAGTTGCAAATCAAGTACCAAGTTTCTTGCCAGAAAATTATAAAAGAAGAACACATTTAGGTATGTATATTCTCAAATCAAATTCTGAATAGCAACACATGCTAGGATTAAGTCCACAAAATCAGGCCCACCAGATGATCTCACTAGTTGGATATTTAGTAAGTGATTTTGCGTCAAATTACTTGAAGTACCGTTATATGTACTATCAATACATTCCCAAGCCTCTTTCTAGTAGCTTTCTTCTTTTACAGAGGTTCTATAGGTGAATCTCTAGCATGCAACTTTGCTTTTGACTTAGGATTTCACAACCACTGCCTGACAAACCATTTCATGATGGAAAGTAAAGGGTTAATGCTTTAATATTGCTATTGTAAACTGTGTGAAATTCAGCAGACAAACAAAGGTAAGTGCCAGAAAGTCAAACAGAAAAACAAATCAGACCCCTGAAGCATACAAAATTCCTAATTTCCAGACTAAGACATCCATCAAACTCCTACTGAAGGTAGCAGAAGGAAAGGAGGTAGGGGATAGAAGAGTCAGAATATTTGCCTGCTCAAAAGAGAAACTTTGCTGACTCTGGAGAAAACTGGAGTATCATGTCTCTAAACCAGTCCTCATGCACCTGTCCCTTAAAAATCTGACGAGCTGCATATTTTGCTGAAAAAATGACATCTCTACTTAACATTTATCTCCTGCACAAAAAGACATAATTATTAAATTTTGGAATTATTTTTCACTGAAATACCTGTCTTTCTCCATGAATTTCTTGAAATCTTTTTGGGGACGCTTAAGAATCAGACCCATACAGGAGCACAGAGAATCCTCTTCGGAACCAAATCCAGTATAAGGAGGAAACTTCTTTTCTGGTTTTGGAGGCGGTGGAGCCTTATATGAAACTGGGGTGAAATCTTCTACAAGAAAGACAGCAAGACTTATTTATTACTGTTCTGATGAAGCCGTTCTACTAAGGATTTAGCTTCCAATATGAATACTTAGCAGTCTATTTCTGTAACAGAGCACTGACCAAAGTCAAACCACAATCTCTCCTACTGTTACAGGGTGGGAAAAGACTCCATAGAAGCCAGCAGCAAAATTATAGTTTCTTCAAGGGCTTCAGGATTTCATCTATAATCTTAAAATGTTTGAGAAACACGATTATGATACACAGGCTAAAGGAAAAACAAGTACAGTTTCAAAACAGGCTAAAATAATAAATTAACGACTCTAAATTTTTCATATTTCTTCTTTAAGACAACATGATAAAGTAAATACTTGGCTTATGAGGTTCCACCGTCTGCTTTTTACCAGAGGGAAATAAATACATAAATTAATAAACTTTTATTCATTTTCTAATCATACATATATGGGAAGAATTTGGTACATTGTTTCAATACAATAGTTTCAGTCCACATGTCACTATCCAGAGTTTCAGAGGTTTTGTTTTCATTAATTTCTCCCCATCTCAGTTCTTTCTTCGCAGTGATCAATGGTCCTGACTATCCCAGATACACAGCAGGAGCTCTCCTGACTCAGCAGAGACATGCCTGGTCAGGGACCTGCACTCACTTCCCATCTTTTGGGCTGCTCCCAAAAGCCCTGCTGCCCAAAGGTCCCTCCTCACTCCTCTCTTGCAGAAAATCTTGCTGTACTATTTGGGCCCTTGTTGCTTCCCTGTGCTGCTCTTTCACTGCAACACAGCTTCCAACTGTCAGTGAGGTTCCTCTAAAACTTTAAGAGCAATACAGTCTGCTGGTTAAATAAGGCTAACAGAAAATGGAAAAGGTGACAGGAAGAAAGTAATTTGTATATGGGAGAAAGTAAATGGGCAGAACTGCAAGGTCTTAAGGCATGAAGACATAAATCATAGGAATGGAGGATAATTCAGGTTGGACAGGACCTCGGGGAGACTCTATCGTGGTCTCCTTGCTTAGGAGAGGGTCAGTTCCAGGCCAGACCAGGCTGCCCAGGGCTGTGTCCAGTTGGGGTTTAACACCTCCCAGGATAGAGGCTGCACAGGCTGCCCTGGCAGTCTGCCCCAGGGAGAAAAGTTCTTCCTGATACCTACCTCTGAGCCTCTTGTTTCTGCTTATGCATGTTGTCTCGTGCCCTCCCACCACGTACCCCTGTGAAGAGCCAGGCTGCCTGGTCTCAGCAGCCTCCCCACAGATAGGCACAGGCAGCTGCTCGGAGCACTTCCCACACCGAGCTCCATGGGGTGCTCCTCAGCCTTGACCATCCTGGGATCACCCCTGAACTTGTCCTGGCTGGTCCATGTCTTTCCAGTCCTGGAGGACCCAAAAGGGGGCACAGTACCTTGATGAGGTCTAACAAGCACTGAGCATTTTCCTTGATTTTTGAGCAGCTCAGGCTGCAGTTGGCCCTCTTTGCTGTGGCCCCAAGCCCAGCTTGCTGCCTTCCACAACCCACAGAGCCCTTCCCGCACCAACATGAGTGCAGTGAGAAGGTCAGAGCTAACTGTAGTCCAACTGGCGCAAAACTGCACGCATGGACCTACATCACCTTCACACCTGGGTGGGCAAACTGGAAGAAGATGGATCATAAACATTTTCTGAATTGGTTTGTGATTAAAATGTTTTAAACATGGCTACATCAGAAGACCAAAGCAACATACTCTCAAAATCTGACTTGTTTAACAGCAGTATCAAGTTGAAAAATACGGAAAAAACATTCCGATGTTGGAGCTTTTCTTTAACTTGAAAACACAATGAGGTCTCCTTTGGCCTTCACCTCTTAGAAGAATATGGTCTGACTTGAAAAAGCCAATACCTTCACCTGAAATCAGACACGAGGTGGGTTGGCAAAACCACGCCATCGTTTTTCTCCATAAAAAATCATACGTGCCCTTTCTGTGATTCAGAAGTACAAAGGCTGAGCCCATATGCAAAATAAAGCCCATTCTGAAATTGCCAAAGCCACTGTCACCGTGGAAAAGTGTATACACAAACGCACTAAAACCCTATTTTCTAAATTCAGTTTGTGACAAAATCGCTCCCATTTTCGGGAGTGCGATGCCACGTAACGTGTGCACGCCGCTGTCCTGACGAGCAGCACGGCGCACGCAGACCGACAGATACGGAGCCAGGCGGAAAACCCCGATGCCCCCAAGCCCGGGGCCGGTGCCGACCCGGGCATCCCTCGGCCGCGCCGTGGCGCCCGTCGAGGACAGCGCCGCCAGGACAGGCGGCGGGTCTTGCGGGTTCCCGCGCTCCCGCAGCGCCACCTAGCGGCGGAGAGGGAGCACCGCCTGCCGCCGGGGGCCGGAGTCGGGGCTCTTGTCATGAGGGTCTCGCTGCCATGCACAAAGTTTACCGCCAGCTTTTTAAGTACGCGCTATGCCAATCTGCACTATTTTCTCCCTCCGAGGCTGGAGGTCTGTAACAGTGCGATTTTAGCAGAAACAAGCCCCTTCTCTTCGCACTGCCACAAATAATGCGCGTCCTGCCAAAAGAGTGGGGGAAGCCAAGGCAGTGGATTGAGCTGATAAACTGAAAAGATAAGCTAATGTGCTTGCACGCAGGTCACAGTGTATACACATTAACACTCACACATAAGGTACTGATTAAGAAATGCTAAAGCGTTTCCCTTTGTATGTACTTTAGCACATGTGGATGAAAATTAGGTTTATAAACTAGAAGGAAACCACAAAATAAGAAAAATATTGTGCTAGCCCCAAAGAGTATGTTCAATCTCTCACAACCCAAGCTTGGAGTAAACAAAGTCCAAAGAGAAGTTCACTGATTTGGTTCCCATCCTCTTCCCGATGCAAAATGACCTTGCTTCATTCAGAGCCACTGAAGAGAAGAACACAAACATCCAGCCTGGTGCCCCCTACAGCTTCCAGGATTTTAAAGGATTATTCATTCAGATTCTCTGCTGTCAATAAGGAAATTCAGAAGGAAATTTCCATGGAGAAATACCGTTTACAAAACTAGTTTAAAAAATCATTTCTGCAACTTTTGCACAGCTGGCTAGGAGCAGCAGACTAAAAGCCATACTCAAGCTCAAAACTCATTTCATCTTCTCTCTGCCACACACTGTTAGGGTAGAATCAGACAGCTTGCACTTACACATCAAATGCACTCCTCTCAAGGTTATCACTGTTTCTTAAGAAAATTACCTCTGCCCAACCTGCAAAAGGAATCAATGCTCTCTTCTTCCAGGCCCTTACCATTTTCAGTGTGAATTTGCAGTGGGTAGAGGGTAAATTGAAAGTCTGGGATTACAAATTTCTACTTCCAGAAAGAATAGCACTGATATTTTCCCCATGGACAGTTTCACCCCTTGTTACTGCATCATTTGATGCCCAGCAGGACATGAGCTGGCACCATGGGGTTTATTTCACCTAGCATATCAAGCATGTATCATACACTAGTAACTTTTTCTCACAACATCAAAACCTGAGTGAGATTTGAACAAGCACTGGGAACAGGAAGAAACAAACCAGCTCCAGCCACATCTTTAGCATATACACAATTTGAAGGCAGCATAGACTTCTTAGTAAGAAAAAACAGATTCCACAAGAAGAATTTGCTACCACAGAGGCAGCACTAAACCAGCTTCAATGAGCTTGTCTGCTTTCAGTTTCAATACACATTGTAAGATTTTGGTATACACTGTAATTTTATCTTCTGCCTTTAGCTGAAGAACTGTAGGAAAACCCTCAACTGCTAGATAAAATCGTATTTCAAGGAAGAGTCAAGTGCTACGTATTTTGGATTACAATGATAACCATATGAATATCAGCATGTAGCAGGCAGGCAGTAAATTCTACCTTCAAAGGAAGAGGACAAACACCTTTGAGCCTTGCAGCCACTAACAGGAGAGAGAAATCCCACCAGCCTTGGACAATATAATAGGTGGCAACAACCTGGAGGGGTGACATTGTTAGCATGATGTTCTCTATACGTAAGAGGAGATGTACAATAAACAGCTGAGACCTGGTTTTTGTGAGAGTCTGTTTCACAATTTAGGTAAGAAGTAAAAGAAGGCGGCAACACCACCATCTTCACATGCATTTTGAACAAAATCTAGTGCTCACAGAACTGTCTATGCAGCTACAACATGACAGTGTTTATTGTGATTCACAGAAAATCTCCTTTTACAGAGTTTTACTTCATGATTATTCCAGTTACCTGAGGAAAAAAGGCATCTGCAAGTGTACAAGTATATTTAGAAGCCACTGCTCATTCTCCACCACGTGTAGTGGAGAGGTTAGACGCTGGAGAGACACTCATCTCTGATGAGTCCAGTGAAAATTGGCAGCAGGCTTTAATGCCCCCACTGAGGGAAAAGCAAGAAGTCAGCTGTTACCCAGCAGCAGCTGCCTGGCCAAAAGCACACATGTACTGTCCAGCCGATCACCCCACATGCTGCTCTGCCCAGGCAGCAGGTCAGAGAGGGTGCCTGAGAAATGAGGGGGTGGGAGGGTGAGGAGAGCTGGGACAGGAGAGGGATCGCAGGGTGCTGCAAAAAGACCTAACAGACAGGCCTGGGAGGTGCTGGGACACTGAAGAAAAATCAGTAGGAAACCAGATTTTACTCGTTTTGTTCCTTCAGGAACAATCTGTTATTTAAGAAAGAACACTTCATACTCAACTCTACACTTGATACTCAACTCTGTGCTAAGATACTGTATTTAGAGAGAAGAACAAGTATCAAGCTTCCCTTCAATGCACATCAGTATATTTCACATTCCAGCTGGCTGACCACAACACCTATATGGCTATAGAATATTTTTCTCCTTCTCTGAGGCTGCATGAGGAAGTCTGGATGGATGGTATCACACATTAAGACATTTTCTCTTGTATTCATAGCACTGCTAGATGACAGTAATGTCATTAGTTTCCTATTGAAGGGCCTTAGCTACTATTTACTCATGGAAAAGCTCTCCTTTGCTTTTCACAAAGATTATGAAAAGTAAAACAGGCAAAATCAACACTGGAAATATATCAGATACCATAATCATGCACTTCAAGGGAAATCTAAACTGCCTTTAATTCTGCTAAAGGGCAAATTCCATCAGCAAGCAACTTATGCTGAAACTGCAAAGTCAAAAATAAATGTCGCTGTCTTTAGGTTTTGCCAGAAGAGTGTAAATTGAAGGGGAGTAATGTGAAAACACAATGTAACAGCTGGATTGATGCCATGAGGTGCTGAGCACAGAGCCTTGATGCAAGAACTAATTTATCCACTTCCTTACTCTTACTCAAGTAAATGGTCTCCCCAGACTCAAACTACAATTAAGCACGTTTCAGTGTTTAATTGGATGGGAGCAGAATGCCGGGCACTCTGTGGGACTGAGCCCACTGAGAGTACCTTGTCTGTCCACCAGACGCAAACAAGATTTGTAACTCATTTGTAACCCTCACCTTTTCTCTCTCAAAACCTGCTTCTAAGCCAAAAACTACCCTGATTCTACTCCTAGTCCCTTCTAGTTTAAAAGTCCTACATTTTTTCAGTCTTGATGGGGAAACCAGGAAAGAATTTTACAGCAAATTGTGAGCATCTCTTAGCTCTCAGAAAGTGTGTGTTTTCTGTGAAGAAGACAGGCTGCATCAAGATGGATGGTTGTTTTTTTTTCATGTTAGCCAGAGTCTATTCATCGTGTATCCTTAAAGGCATGTGCAAAACACTTCCCAGTTTCCAGAAAGTCTAAACTAGAGTAGATCTTTGTGTGTTTCATGTTAAGGAGGCAGAGAAACTGGAGAGAGGAAAAAAAACAGAAAAATTATCACAGATATAAAAGAATGGACTATAGAGAAAAAATGAAAGGTTTCCCCTAGCAGCAAATGACCCAGGAAGCAGGTAGAGTGGTAAGATGGTATACTGGAACAGTGTTCAAATGTGTACAACGTTGTTATTAAAAGAGGATACTGAGCAGTTTTCTCCATGTCCAACAAAGGTAAGACAAAAAAGTTACTCTCTCAGTTTCCACAAACCAGCTTCAGAGTAGCTATTGGGTTGGCCAAAAAGTAATTGCATTTTTTCTGGGTAAACAAAAGGCGAATTTTTCGTGAGAAACAAAAATTGTAGTAAACAATATAGTGTCCATTTTGTTCAATTACCTTTTGCCATCTTTCAGGGAACTTGCGCACTCAAAAAAGTTTTTATCTTTTTTGTCAAAAAACAGCTCCAAGAACAATTTGCTATCCTCATCAGCAGTGAAGGTTTTACCATTCATGGTGTTTTGTAAAGAACGAAACAAATGGCAGTCTGATGGTGTCAGGTCTGGTGAATATGGTGGATGTGGTAACGCATCCCATCCAAGCTGTAACAATTTTTGATGACTGACCAAACTTGTCTGTGGTCTGGTGTTATCATGGAGAAACACAACACCTTTGTGATTCACCAATTCTGGACACTTCTGTTTGATGGCATCATTTAACTTACCCAGTGTCGACAGTACACATCCAAATTAATGGTCTGGTTCCTTGGAAGCAACGCAAAACACACAATGCCTTTGAAATCCCACCAGACTGAGAGCATCACCTTCCTTTGGTCAATGTCTGCTTTTGAATGGCTTTGAGCTGGGTCATCACACTTACTCCATGATCTTTTTTGTTCACCATTGTTGTAGATGATCCATTTTTCATCGCCTGTTATCATATGTTTCAAAAATGGATTGTTTTCTTCACATTTGAAGAGAGAATCACAGATGTCAATGAGCTTAGTGAGATGAAATTGAGCTCATGTGGTACCCAGATATCGAGCTTCCTAAGGTATCCAAGTTGTTTTAAATGGTTTTCAATGCTCGATTTCGATTTCTTAAGATTATCAGCAATCTCTCTTGTCGTTAAATGGATTTGATCAATGCCTTTATTTTGTCTTTATCAACTTTGATTGGCCTTCCTGAGCGTGGTGCATCTTTAACAGCAAAATCTTTGGACCAAAATTTAGCAAAGCAATTCTAGCACTGCCATAGTTTTAAGGCATCTTTTTTTTTAACTGCATTTTTCCCTTTTTGGAAATAATACAGCAAAACATGACAAAAATGTTCCTTTTGATTTTCCATTTTGAAATCAATGCCAAGTAAGTAATTGATAGCAAAATCATGCACTTCCTTTTTCTAAAACAAGCTTGAACTGTCAGCTGTCAAGTTACATAATGAATTTTAAAATGAAGTTAGTTACATTTAAAGACATGTATGCCCATGTATTAAAAAAAAACAACCTGCAATTACTTTTTGGCCAACCCAATAGTAAGTAGCATTTCTAACTACAAGGTTAGGATAAGACACCTCAGAAGGCAAAGATGTCTCCTCTACTAGAGGAAGCCAAGAAAAGCCTATTCAAACTTCAGTCACTGACAATCTATGTATATGCACTATCCTGCCTCAGAACACCGGAAATGGAGTAGATCACCTATGGTCTCAATTTTCTAGAATTTTGCACATCAGCAACTTCTGACCTCTCCTAACTTGCAAACCACCTAACTTTAACATCCAGAGACATAACCAGTAATTACTGAGCCAGCACTATAGGAGGGGAAGAGCCTTTGGATTGGTGCAACTCTCGGTTCCATTGCTTGGTCAGCTGAATTACAGAATGGTCAGCTGTATTTCATTTATTGTCTGCCATGAGTAAGAAATTCCCATTCACCGTTCCAAAATATTTTGCTCAAACAGAGGATATTGCTGCCAAACAGTGGCAGCAGTCTTGGCTGAAGAAAATCTCAGGGAAGAACCTGCTAGTTTGCATCTCTGGAGTTAGACTCACTATTGTTATAGATAGTACTACGGTTATTGAATATGGCTTCCTCACACACAGGCCAGTATAAGAAAATATTTATTTTGGTACAGAATGCCAAGCTATTATTAAAGAAGTCCTAATGAGACATGTTTTGCCAATTAAGAAATTTAGTGTTGTAAGGGTAGCACTACGTCACTTAATTCCTCCAGTGCAGCAGACAAGCTTTGATCCAAACACTACTCTCTATCTGATCACAAGCTGAGCTCAAAGAAACAGTCTACCCAGGTATTTTGTTTCACAATGTCAGAGAAAGGCCATAGTAGGATTCTTCCAACCATCTCAGAGCAGTCAGACACTTAGCTATATTTACTGAATGAATAAATTGCCAGGAATTAAAAAAGTTGTTTTTGCAGGAAGATGTCCATAACAGAACTATTAGCAAGTCTGACTGAGGGAATTCAGAGACAGATAAGTGAAAGCCCCTATTGTTATACATTTCCAAAATGCTTTTCCATTATGGACTTAGTTGCTAAATGTTGCCAGAATTCAGTGCTGAAACTTCACAGGATACATACTCTAATGGTCCAGAATACATAAAACTGCATTGCAAAAACCAATAACATGATAGACTATTACTGTTGTGTCAGAAAATGTTATTATGTGAAGATTCTGATATCCATACAAAATGAAACATAGTATAACGGGGAATAATTGAGCTCATTCTCCTTACCCACTCACTACATGGTCTTTATTATCTTCTGACTGCAAACACAGCTATTGGAATGGGAGGGGAAGGAGAGAAGACAACTTGGCAGTCTATCAATATGACTATTTTGTCATTCTAGTTTTAAAATAGAGGCAGTTAGAAAGAGAATGTGTATGTTATGTGTTAGTTTTCGATGGAGTAACATATAAGAAAGCCCTTCTGGGCCACCTGCAAAATTACTGCTTTGCTGTTAACAGCTTACAACAGATTGTTATTGCTGAAGGTTTTAATGAACATGTTTTGTCAGTAATAAAATTCGAAGACAGCTCTGTCAAACTCAGAAGTATAAAAATACTCATAAGAAAAGGATAATTATCACTACTTACCAATTCCATACTTTGTCCTGTAATGTTCTTTAGTGAATTCATCACAGTCACAGAGCATTATCTTCCTTCCCCAAACATTAATTACTGCCCCTATTTTCAGGTCACTGTCTCTGTAAAATTCCTGATGCACTGCTCCTGTCTAATAAAAGAGGGAACATTTATATAGCAACTCTATAAATCTCAGAATCCCATAACCTTTCCTAAAATCTAGGTCATTTAGTCTGTGTGATTTAAAAGTTAACCTTCATAGTCAATTTGCAAGTATTTTTCACCCCATGCTAAGCTACCTCACTTTAATAAATGCAGAATTTACATACAGTAAATCTCAGTAGTTTTCATTTGAGCTATTCTCCAGTGGCAACAAAATTGTATAAGTAACTCTCTCTGTTGTAGAGGATAACAACCGCAGAAATTACAAAAACTACTATAAAGACATTCAACAGCTGGAGGGATTCAATAATATCTGACCTTACGATTGTCCACAAGGTAACGGCTTTTGTTTCCTAATAAATTTCCAAACATATTGAGAACAGTGCGATTGGTGATGGTGCCCGGCTGATACAGTCCGGTGGGAGCATACTGCAAGAAAAGAGATCAACTCTTAAGAAATACAGTTAACAGGGAAGAAAGAGAACTCAGTTAACGTAGAACTAGCAGGGTTTTTACAGGCTGACTGCTATTGTATTTTCTTGGGAGAACTTTTAGTAAATTCTAAGGTAACATTACACAACTGAACCTGAAAGCAAGCGTATACGTCCAAAGTTAGTATGTATGCCAGAAGAAGCATTCAGAATCTTACTGTGCATCCAAAAGTGAAGTTTTGCTCTTCTTGGAAGCAAACAGAAAGCATGGGTTAGCACATCCAAACTAATACATCCTTGTCAACATCTGTCCTAAAGGCTATTATTTTGATAGGCAATAATTATAAAAATGGGCAAAAGAACCACTCAGGGCTGGTCCTACTGTGCTAAGCACTGCACAAACGCAGGGGATTCAAGTCAGCACGATTCTGTTGGCAAAACTGTAGTATTTCTGTTTCTATTTTAAGTTTCAAAATCACAATATGAATTTATCCCAGTAATATCAAACTTAACATGCAAACACTTTTTAGCAAAAAGATATATAAACAAACTGCTGATTCAGGGTAACTAAAGTGGGTTATTTTGTCATACCATCTTCCCTGACACCCCAGCTTTTGACTTATCTCCTCTGCTGTCCTCAAAATTTCCACTAAATTCAGACAAAGAAGCCAGCCTGTAAAACTGCAACATGCACTTCAGTGGTCGACGGGGTCTGTTAACATAGAGCTACTGCTAAATCAGCATCTCAGAACACAGGATGCATAAGGTGAGAAAAACGCAATATTTTGCTGTTAAGTTTTTACTATAAAATCTCTTGTACATTTATGGCATCACAAATAGATTACCAGTATGAGAGGGAAAGGAGAGAAAAGATTCCCCAGTGTTTTACTCCATCTGTGGGTTGACATTATTCTATCATCAGGATCTGTCTGGAGCGATACAGAAGTGTATCCAGCTTATTAATTTTATAATTGTAATAGGTTACAGCAGACTCAGACCCCTGGAAGATTTCTCTGACAGATGCCTTCTCAAATAAGCACCTGATTAATGCCTGACAAAGCTTGTTCGTGGATTCCTATGATTATAATCAGCTTTGCATAAGGTCCCAAATCTAAGAACTCAATCAGAAATCACTCTAAATTTGCTACAAAGAAGTAGTTATGGAGTACTAAAACTGGACTTTTCTAAAGCTTCCAAATATAATACGGATCAAATCTGAATTCAGCTCAGTTTTGCATTAGTTTATCTATCAATATTAATTAATTTTCTGAACTTCCATTACTGCACACTTTATTAATACATTTACATTAATACACTAATATGGGAGAAAGGAAATCATAGGATATCTTTCTGCCCAAATTCTCTCTCCTTTTAATTTAAGCATGACAAGCCTAAACCTTTTTTTCCCATCACTTATTAAATTATTATATGAATATGTGTGCTAAACCTAAATCTTGCAATTATGATTAATATTCTGATAACACTTTCTAAATATCATTACAATCCTAATACAGGATTTTCAAAGCAAGGCATTTAATATTTCTTAATTAGCGGAAGAATTCTAAATAAGCTTAAATTTTCATTTCTCACCTTTGGAAGCTTCTCTCTTCTGAGGAAAAGTGGAACTGTATCCCGGCCTGAGTTTACTGGCACAATTTCTTTTATATCAATAGTATCATCAGCCAAATAATAGTGCAGAACAAGTTCCCGTGGGTCGTGAAACATGGCTTCTGGATCATCCCACACACAGAAGAAACGTAAAACATGGCCATCATGCTCCAGAAATTGTTTCAAAGTATCTAAGCGCTCATAAGGGCGCAATGGATTCATATAATCCAAAATCTGCAGATAAAGGAGAAATTAAGAGAAAAACCTTTCTTAATCATTTGCTCTTAAAAACAGGATACCAAACTGCAGGGTACCATCTACTCTTAGAACATGCTTTTAGGATTTTCAAATAACATCACGCAATTACAATATATGGAACACTATTTATGCCATTACCAAAGAACTATTTACAGGGTTGCTGTAACCTCAGAAAATAGATGAAAAATTGGTTTTGATCCTTGTTTTTCTTGCAATAAGGTCCTTCAGATCAGAGAATTGTTAAATTATTTATAGAACAGCTCACATTTTCAACAAATTGCCCATGGTAATCAGATTACTACAACTCCAAATAGCATCACCCTTCCTGATTTACTTCCTTGAAAATTATTTTTTCTAGATGATATGGTATAAAGAATTAATTTCTTCTTTTCCCTGCAGCGTTTTCTTTCTTTTAGCTTCAAAACACAGTTAATTAACTTTTGATTCATGCCATACAGTTGGCTGGTACTGGCTATATATGTTCTTCTCTCAATGTACAGCCATAGGTCTGAAAAGAAATAGCAAATCTCCAACTACAAATATATTACAGTTGATGTGATCTATGACAAGATGCTATCTACAGTCATGGTTGCTGCATTAAACCGGATCCCAGGATGATGATCCAATCCGAGGATGGCCAGCCCAAGACACCACTACACAGAACCAGGAGCCATGTTACAAATTCTACTTTTGACTGTGGAACTGCAAAAAGCCTAAAGGTATGAATGAAGTGAAACCAACACATCCACCTCAGAGTACCTCAAAGACATGCAAATGGTCCTACACATCTCAGTCATAATCATTTTCCATTTTTGCTGCTGAGAGCTGCAGCAATTTTCTCAATAGGAGGATTAAATTGAAAGCAACAGATACATGTAGTATTTGTTGCTTTCAGATTATTATGCTGGATCTATCACAACTGGCTGCATATCAGGGGTCAACAGTCCTAAGAGTCAGGTCAAGAGAAAAATACAGTGCCACCTCACTCGTACTAATCAAGAAAAACAGAAGTGAAAGAAACCATCATTATTCCCTACAGAAAACATCACTCCTACTACTATTCCCACAGAACAGACCCCAAATCCTGAAGAGAGGAACATACATAGCATCTAGGAGCTGCGAGTCAGATTCTTGGAGTAGGCATGTATGTGTTCCCATACATTCATAAAAAAGAGAACTGCATTCAAATAAAACCTCACAAGTCTTAAAACTGCAGAGTGCTGGGTTCTGTGTGGCAGAAGAATTTGCTTTACACATGCAAAGAGCTTTTAATAACATCAGATAGAGATGATAGATAACATACGAATAGACAATGTGAGTGAGCCACTCACAGAAGCCATGAAAGTGCTTGAACCACAATGCCAATTAGATCTTGCTTTAAACACTTTAAAAGTGTTTATTATCATTAAATTAGCTCAAGCGAAATCATAGGTAGAACACACAATAGCTCCATATTTTTCTTTTCAGTTTAATATGGAAAGATTATTTTATTTTTGCCAGTTATTTTGTTGTGTTTCAAAAGGTGTGTGAACACATCAGGAGAAAAACAGTTATATTTGGGACTTCACTATGTTAGTACAACAAAACATATATTAACATTTTTAAAAGAAAGTTTTCTCTTGCAGTTATGTTGAAATAGCTACCTCTATATACCTTCTATTTGATATTAGAGAAATATTTTATATAATGCATACTATAAATAGCACTTTTATTAAAATCAATTTTTCACTATTACTGCTTCATCTGACCTTTTGACGCTCTTTGGTGTATGGGTCATCTGGAAGACTTGTGGGAGTATTTAATCTCACTCCCATCTTCCTCAGGAATTTTTTTGTAAACAGGTCACAATCTATAATCTTGTATCTTCGGGCATAAAAGTTTACTTCAATATTGATATTGAAATTATCTATAGTATAGAACTGATCTTCATGAGGAGGTGGAAGTGGAATCCGATGCCGTCGAACAATAGTTCCTGTAAAAGAATCAGAATAAATTAATAGAGTGAAAATCCTCTGCTCTAAGGATCAGTTCACAGACCTGCTAATTTTCTATGCTTATACGACCAGAACAGATGAAGCCATGTGGGACAAACAAAACTATCCCTCACTCAGCATAAGAACTGTGAGGTAAGAGAATCCTTTTTATTAACAGTAATACTTTACACTGATCATCTTCTAGAACCTCAAGTTCTAGTATTTGACTGAAGCGAATGCAGAAATTTATCACTTTCTGGAGCAAACAGGAAGCCACCGGAATAAATCCATACTTGTTAGTGCAAATGTAAAAGGTTAGAATTTTTTCAATGAAAATAGCAAGGACAGTGCTCTCATTAAGAAGAAAGATGTCTTTTTCACTTTTTCTGAAAAGCAACACCAGTCTCCAGTACTCATTAGTATCATTAACTTTTCTTACTTAAAAAAAAAACACACAGAAAAAGTTATGCAAAAAACAGGTGGCAGGGATGTATGCGATAGACAAGATTTGTGTGTATGCTCTTCAAGGTGAGGAGAGCCATATGTAACTAAAATTAGAGAAAAAACCTGTCCTACCAAGGAAAAAAGTGTGACTTATGAAGTATGGACACAGGCATTTTCAACTGAGCTTCCTTAAGGAGCACACTGAAAGTAGAGACAACAGAGGGGAGTTGGGCTGCCTGCTGGGTTGCAGTAAAGAATATATTGCAAAAATACAGAGCCAGGAACTCATAACCCATAGTCTAACAGGAACACTATCCAAAAGAAAAAAAAAAGGGGGAAGGAAGGAGGAGGGGAAGAGAAGAGAGACATTTTAACTTTCTTAAAGTAAGTACACACATTTTCTTATTGCTAGTCTTTAAATGAAAGGACTGTTATTCTGAGAGAACTGTATTTGTTTACATTTACCACAATAAAAGAGAAGGAATCTGCTATTGGTCTATCAGCCGTGACAAGCTGACAACTCACAAATACACTGATGAATTGGGTAATACTTCAAAAGTACTCACTGCTGATGATTAAGAGACTGGAGCAGCTCTCATATGAGGAAAGGTTGAGGGAGCTGGGTCTGTTCAGCCTGGAACAGACAAGGCTGGGGGGTGAAACTTATCAATGTTTAAAAATATCTGATGGGAGGGAATGAAGAAGATGGAGCCAGGCTCTTCTCTGTGGTGCCCACTGGCAAGACAAGAGGCAATGGGCACAGTTACAAGACACAAAATTCCGTCTGAACACAAGAAAACACTTTTTCACTGTGAGGCTGATCAAGCACTGGGATAGGTTGCTCAAAAAGGTTATGGAGACTCCATTCTTGGAGATATTTAAAACCCAACTGGACCTAGCCCTGGGCATCTGGCTGTAGCTGATCCTGCTTTGAGCTGGGAGGTTGGACTAGACAATCTTCAGATACCCCTTCCAACCTCAACGATTTTGTGATACTGCAAGTACTTTAGAAACAACTCATAAGCTAGAGTCTCAGTAGGTTAAACAAATATGTAACACATACTTTAAAGAAAAGTATGCAGCTGCACATATGACAAGCTATGATTTATTCTGATTGAAGTTAGAGTTCACAAAGAACAGCAGATCAGCATAGCTGGGACTAAACTCCTTTTTTTAAACATTATGAGAGAACAGAAAGGACAACAGTGAAAGCTGTGCCACATCAATACCTAAATACAGTTGAGTGAAAATAATACCCTGCAGAGAATAAAAAGATGGTCCACTATTCAACTCCAGGCTCTTTGCTGTGCTTACCAACCCAGACACGTCTGTAACACCAGCTCCAGAATGCGGATACCCACTGGCTAAGATCAGCCAGGAACCGCCAACCCGTACTATTATAGTAAGTCCTTGCCACCATCGGTTCCCAACGACTTTAAAATTACAGTCATTATAAAAGTGCGACTGTAAGACAACTACAGTAAACACAGAAAAATTTCAAAACTAAAAATAGTTCTAGTACTCACCTACCACTACAATAACAGTTTATTAGACACAATTATCTAAAAGGTCTATCTCATTATCTCTCACTACAGAGCTGCATTTCTTTCCAGCGCCCTTCAGCTGTGCATCTGGTAGTGTTTCCCACTGAGTCCTGTTTGATGATGTTCCAGCATTGCTATTCTGTTTGGGGGGTAGGTGGGGGTGAAGAGGGGCCTGGGGAGAGAGGGGATGAAGATAAACAGAGGAGGAGGGAGAAAGATATCACTGTGATTTTTTTTTTTTTGGTGTTTGAATGGCCTTATTTCTGTTAGTCCGTGGAAATTCTTTATTGTTCACTTTATTTCCCTAGGGACTAATCTGTGTGAAATACCTTCCGCTACAACGTTATCAGAGATGTTTGTTAAATTCCAACTCCTATAATGAAAACATAGTCTTAATTTTTCAGGGGAATAAAGCAACAAAACATATTTACTTTACATTCCCATGAAAATAATTAAGACGCGTTCAGCATCCCGATGTTTCCTATGTACCAAATCCAACATTCTGATTACTAACCTTTGACTGTAAAATAAATTTGAACCTCTATCTGCTTAAACATATTTGTGTATGTAGTTAAGATATATCCTTATGGAAATATTAGTTAGAAAACATGGCAATTAGCACATTTTAACATGATGTAAAACTGTACTGTTTTACCATTAAGAAAACCACATCCTTTAAAATACGTTATCTGATTCTGACTAATCAGACTTGTGACTTGGGTCACTCCTACAAAAATCAACAGCTAATGTGCCAAGTCAGAACAGCCCTCCACATAAATACAAATCTTATACAAATTATCTTAGTTAAAATGTAACAGTTGGCAATTTTTTAATATGAGGTGCTTTCACCTCAGAACCAGTGAATAAACCCTCAGCTAGTTTTTATACCACTTTTCAAAGTATAATACACATGCCCATTTTGTTCTGAGGAATAAGAACTTCTTTCCTAATGGAAAATGTCTTGTAAAGATAGTATCTGTAGCAGTCCTTTGCTTTTATTAGGTATCACTGTGCCTGATCTACATGTGTGGAGGATACATTTTATATTGTTGAATTTGAAATTTAATAAAACCTGACCAGCTGAGGTTAGGTCTCAGCATTTTTAAAATTGTCCTTCCTTCTGGAAAATACTTCCATTTCTACTTTTAGAAATTTGCTACAAGTAGGTAAAGGAGGATCTGTGCAAGTGCAACACTCAGGTTGCTCAGGCTTGATGGCTACTCTTGATGTTTCTTTTGTCTTCTGTCCGTTTACTGAGCAGGCTTCCCTACCGCACCACCAAGCATTATTTTAAATATTTGCATCTGGACTGGCTAAAGCTCTCCTCTACTGTGCTCCTGTAAAGGGATTTGGGGTACTACTTTTCTCTGACATTGGTGGTGGCATAGAGTTCCCACACCATAATTTGTAGCGTATCTCCTTTTCTCTCAGGGTTTCTGATTATTTGGCAAGTACAGGAGCAGCTTAAGGAGACCTTAATAATAGTAAAGGTCTTTTTGACTATAGGGCAGCTCGTGAAGCTGGGCAGCAGACGATTTGGTCTCTGCTGCCATGTTGCTCTGCAGAAGAAATAAAGTGCTATCAAGAATTTCCTCAGCACAGCTTTCTGATTCCCTCTGCTCTACTTAAGAGTGCATTAGAGAGAAGAGAGGAATGGGTAACACTTGGAGTTTGTACACTCTTTGACTGCTCGCACAGAAAGGAGAAGCAGCAACCACTACTATTCCTGCAACACAAAGAGTTCACTCCAATAAACAAGTGGGCTTCTTACATTCACTTATTCACCCATCTCAGAACACAGCAAGGTCATGATTTGGCCACCCTTAAGTATGGCAAAATCACAATTATTTCAAAGCCTCAGAGGTGGTCTTAAATTCTCAGATAATTGGTTATATTGGAGGAGCTGACTGCAGCTTCACTTTCCCGCTAGTGCTTTCCTCTCCAGCCAGCTGGCCTTGGGAACCCAGCCAGCAGGCAGCTCCCCTCTCTTCTTCAGCTGGCTGACCTTGGGGAAACCAGCCAGCTGCTCCACTCTGCTTTGGCTTCCCGGGCCTGGGTTGCACTGGAAGAGACAGTCAACCCCATGGGACATAAATGACCTTTTGATAAGACAGTACCAGCCAGCCACAGTCCTGTTAACTGGGAATGAGATCTACAAAACACTTGCACCGCCACATCTAGCCTGTCTCTCTATGGGAGAATTTCTTTTTATATGGGAAGAACAACTAGCATTTTGGCTCCGGAAGAACACAGCGGAGTTTGGTATGTGATCAAGTTTACTGTCCTTCTCTTCACGCTGTACTCCCTTATCTTTAGTTAGTTTTTGTGCACTGTGATTGTCCTGGTATTTTTTGCTTTGAGTCTGGTTTCTCAAGTTCAGGTTGGTCTCTGCATTCCTTTGTGTTTTGCATTGAATTTCTCTGTTTTTATAGATTTCTTCTAATGCTTCTAATATTTTCCAAAGTACAAACTACGGCGAGGTAGTTTCCAGAATTAAAGGAAGCTTCTTTTTCAGTTAATTGATGCCCAAGTACAGCAGCCAATTCCATAATGCACTTTTTAAAAGTCACTGAAATACATTTCCCACAGACTATTTACTGTGTCACTCTGAGATTTTGATTAATCGTAAAAGCACATTTTCTGGTTTTTTTTTTTCCCAAAGCTGATTTGTTTTAGTTTTGTAAAATCATAATTGAAGTTAGAAATTCTTCTAACTTCATTGACAGCTGCATCCTTCACTTTCTGCAGTCCATAAGCCTCTACAAATTTTTTTCTGCAAAGCCACAAGTGGAGAGTACAGTGGGAAACTACTACATTTCTCTGATCACATCATGCCCAGGGACACTCATTGATACCATCAACCTTTGTAGGTTACAGCATAAGCACTGGTAATCCCATGGCCTCAAGGCATTAACCAGCCAAGCTAAGATCTACCTTTGATCTACCCTACCACCTGCCTTTGATCTACCCCACCACTGCTCTATCTATTTTGCAAGAAGACTCCTGAGAACAGTCATTTGAGCTGTCTATTTTACATCTTCTCTGCCAGGGTAAACATTCAAGTTAAGGTCACGACCATCTTCTGCCTTCAACAGTTCAATGCCTCCTTTTCCATCACAGTATTTTGCTCTTCCTCCTTTACTAAGCCCCTTTCCTGCCACTGTCACTCTCCAACTACCCACACAGACTGAGCCTATCCTGCTCCTGATGTTCCCACACATCTTTCTTCACCCACATCCCCACACCTGTGCTCTTCTGTTCAGTGCAGTTTGCCTTTCAAGAACCCAAGCTCTCCTACAGTTCAACTCTCCTCTACAAACCCCTGGCCTTTTAATGAACTGAAACGTATTTCTGCAGACGTGCAGAGGACAGCATTATAGTTCAGATCCTGAACTTCAGTTCAGTTCCTCATCCTGTTAACAAGCTTTTCTGCATGATCATGGGCAAGATTTTCATTCCTTTGTACTTCAGATTACCAGCTTCACAATGCAGACAGTTATGCTTTTGTTGTTCTCAGGCTTACAAACTCCCAGTCAGGAGAAGGATTTTGAATAATATAAGAGGTAACGGGCCAAATTTTACCTGAAAACAGAATAAGACTAGTAGTTAATGGTTTGGTATTTCTTTTTAAGAAATACTGCTTCTGCATATATTCAACAACAAATATTTAGTGCCTTCAACATAACAACTATGTGATTGTACTTAAGTTATGGAGCATGAAGTCACTGCCCAAGTGCATGTGAGTTAAGAATTCTCAGATAGGCACCTCCACCACCTTTTTCCATCTATATCATATTAAACTTTAGGATAATAAGAATATTTATGTAGATGTTTATGATGAAGTATAGGCCACAGATCTTCTCATCAACTGTGAAGCCTAAACACGCCCGAAACAGTCCTTAGGCCTTTCAATCTACAGTATCTCTTCCTTCCCAAACACAATCAATATACAGGGCTTCCTTCCCAGCCCAGCAAATAGATTAACTGCACTTCTGAGATCCTGAAACATTTATTTTTAATCCATCAGTTTAATGTATTGTGTATACTCATTTATTCCACATAAAGTACTTCTACAAAGCCGTAGAGGCTCTCAACACATCCTTGCATGGAAAACTCAGAGAATTCTTGTTTCCCCTTAACACCATTCATTTAATTTTAGATCTAGTACAAAAGGTGACTCCAAAACCATTAACATAAGATACAACCAGGGAAACAGGGAAATTGTAGCCTTCCTGTTTCACCAGGATCATGACTACACTGCCAGGAACATCAGTCCTGAAAGGGCAGCCTGCACAACCCATACTGCAAAGACAATGAAAACTACTCATTCCTATAGCTAGATTCAAAGGAATAAGCTTTGATTTTGCTTTATCCTGCTCTAATGAACCTGCCTTCCACCTTCCCTCTCAAAGATGTCACCTTTGCCTCTCAAGTTAACTGTATTTTCTTTGCCAACGGTCATTTGTTCTAAGCTACAAAATCCAGAAACAGCCACTCCCACTCCCATGACACACAACTCAAGGAAAACCTAAACCCAATGATTTCTTCAGGCTCACACATATGAGTGCAGAGAGAGGGTAAGTAACTTCTGCGTTCCCAGAAGAAGAGAACCAACATGATATTCTTCAGGTCTTGAAAAAACACTTGCCCAAGTAGGAGTAGGACAAGCTTTCTCTGAATTCAAAATAACTTCCTACTGAAGAGTCAAAAAGATTTCTCACGAGAAAAACTACTCAACACAGGGAGAGCAGAGCCTGGAGTACTGGTATAAGAAAAGAATCCCAGGTAATTTTATCCCAGGCCTAGCAGTAATGATGCATGTAACACCTTTAAATATTATCCTGCTCTGTAGACACAGAAATTGATAGCATCTGCTCATCTTGGGAAAGAATACGATAGTTAAACGGTTAACTTATTTTTGAAAATTGCTGTGCTAAGCTCCACTAGAATGTACAAAATATCTTTAGGGACTGGGAGGCGCGGTCATCCCAAGATAGTCATCCCAAGACATCCTGCTTATCTGGACTATATCCCCTGAAAACTTTTTTAGTTCTGGCAGTGGCCCATAAACACCAAGAAACAGCAGCTGTGTTCCCCTTCTGCAATAGGATGTTGACCGCTAGATCACATTTTCTTGTGTAAACCAAGCCCACTAATACTTCAGTAAATCGGTTCAGTAAATGCTTCTCCAAAAGTCCTCAGGCTGGCCCAAGTGCAGTCATACGACACTGAGGCAAGCCAGCTTCTTAACTTAGAGGCATCAAGGAAAAATTACAGTGCCAAGGGCACTTTAATCATAAAAGAACCATCAGCCAGAGGCACCAAAGGTGCTCTCCTCCATCAGTGGCAGAGACTTTGCTGCAGCTAATGAACAATTGCAAAGCTGCAGCTATAGAACTTACTGTCAGTGTCAGTGCCCAGATGGGAGAACCAGGCTCAGGAATGGAGCTCTAGAACACAAATCGTTTTTGCAGAAGTGACAAGACACTGACAATAGACCCACTATCATACTATTTCAAACAGCTGTATCAGAGAAAAAATGGTATGTGTGAGTGTGGGAGGGGATTCTGTCTTACAAAACCTACATCTGCAGACACTAAGACAATAAAAAAGTTCACATTATGATGCATAGTAAGAAACAATTATAGCTGTCCACTTACAACCCATTTTATCTATAAGAAGTCACATTGGGTATCCATTAGAATGGACCAAGACTGTACTGAAGAAAGATATAAAGGGCAAAAAAAGAGAGTGTTATTAAAAACAGATACCTTGAGGTATGCCACTATTTTTCACTTGCGGTTCAATCACTTGAATTGTATCATCTTCAAGGTAGAAGTATATTTTACAATGTCTGATTCTATATAGCTCTTGATTCTTGTCAGGCACTTCATCCTCAAAATAGGCATCAAAAGACAATATCTATTAAAAACAATAAATAAATATAAAGTGGCAAATTCTTCAATGCTTTTACAAAATATGTCAATAAACCTGTATAGATTATAAGTAACTAAATGTATGGATTTCAGGAGATAGATTTATTTCTTAGAAATGTAAGAATAGAAAACCACATTAAATCACATAAATTTAAAATTGCTTGGCATTTTTATTATCACAACATCTAAGCAGAGATGGAATTTTAAAGTAAAGAAATAAATCAAATATGAAACTATCAGCAGGCTGCTTGGAAAATCTTCTGAACAAAGCACTTTTGATAGCACAATGAGCTATCTAGGTCCTGAAGCAAATTTTAGACTTCTATTCAATGAATTTGCCAGAAAATAAAGTGCATTATGATAGTAATGGCTTTACCATTGAGGTAAGTGGAAAGGAGAGTTCTTTTTAAGTAGGTCCGACAAGCTGTCTAATGAGTGGTACTGAAGACTATCAGAGGGAAATGACATTTTTCACGAGTCATTCAGAGCTGTCCAATATTAGCATTTCAAAACTTATCTGGTTCTGCAATTCATTGAGTGGGGAAATCTCAGACAGTACATCAACTGGTCTCCATGGTCTCTTGCAATAGCAACAATGCAACGTGAAAAAACCTTCAGAGGTGAGGTGGTTTACTACAGTGACCTTTATGTCTGGAGATCCCAACTCAAACTTGGCAAATCATTACACATTTTTCCACTTCCTGGCATCATTTATGGTGTTTGATCACCAAGACCAATTTTAAGGGAATGCACAAGTACTATCTACTTGGTAGTGCATTACCTACCAGGATGCTTGCTGTAGTAAGTTCATGGAAGGAGGCAATAATTAAAATAAGGTTTCAATCTTGCCCCCTTACCAAATTTGGGTCAAATCAGTGCCAAATCATACTTCATTTTTTGCAATGATTCTATTTAATATATTCAATTACTTTTATTCTTGATTCATTAGACAAACTCAGGCATTGGAAGAGAGACAACTTAGCTGTTCTCCCTGTTTCAATGAGCATCTGGCAGAACACGGCTTGAAAATGCTTGAAATCTAGTGAGCTAGCCAAGAACTCTATGTGACACACAACAGACCAGTTAAGAGTTTGTTTTCCTTGAGCACGTGCTTTTGAGAACCTCAAAGTATTTCCATGAACCCTAATGACAGAGATTTTAAAACAACCTAATAGACAAACACAACCTCTTTTTCTACATCTAGGGAGAGAAACTTGCTCAGGAGCATACAAGAACAGTCACCCCAAGTCCCAGTCAGACTTCTCAACAGGCCACTCTCGCTCCTCTCAGGCAGGGTAACTGCAAGATGAAAAAACCTCTTGTTTCCACAAACTGTTTCAAAGGCTAAGATCCCACTGATTTTCAGCAGGCATCAAACAACATGACAGATATATTTTTGGGCATCGACTCTCCTGCACTTTGACCTGCCACCATGAGAGAAATAAAATTTAAATTAAAATAAAATGACACAACTGTTATCTTTTAAACCTAATGGCATTAAACCTTCACACAACAGAATCTAGACACTATCACTTATGGTTTCTTTAAGTAGTACAACATGCAAGTTTCTGAACAACCTATAGATGAAATAGTTGAAAATAAATAAAAACTCATTCTGGCCACAAGTAATTTCTAACTGTGGATTTCACTGTTTCATGTATCAAACACAAAAACACTGAATAAAACACCTGACATACAACAGAGCCAACATAAACAACTCTATCATCTTTTAACATCTCTTCTTCCTTCCATTTGCCTAAACATCGGTGTATAGTGCCATTTTTGGTGACCAGGGTATCTCTCTTGGCCTTCAGCTACTATTCTGGAAGGACTAGGTGCCTCATGTAAATCTCCTGAATGCACGAGGGGCTTAAAAGGTACTATTGTGGCCCCGCTATATCCCAGTCTGAACATCATCCTGGGGTTCAGCTGACAAGGAGCTGAATTGCATTCCTTGCCCAGCTGTTGATAAGCCATGCAACCACTGGGAATGTCCTTAGATGCTGCACCCTCTTCTCTCTATTCTGCGAGCCCCACTAGAGTATTGTCGTTTGACAAACATATTGTTCAAGTGCTCTATTTGATTACTAATTGTTCTTAATTTTGTCAACAATCTTTTCTGAGAACGGTTGTCTTGTGAGACACCAGCCAAGAGAAACAGTCTGAGTGCAGAGATCTCCAAGGACAATCAGGTGCTAAATATGCTGTATTTATTTCTTTCACTGAGCGTACACCTATGTCCTGGTTTACTCCATTCATGGAGTCTGTGCAAGTTCTTCTGCACTTAAACTTTATGCTCTTTATAACCTTTCCAACATGCTAGTGTATGACTGACATATATGCATCCGCCAACTGCAATTCTGCAGATCAAAACAGATGATTCAGGAAGGGTGGGGAGGGGAAGGAACAGAAAAGATGATGACTTACTTTTCATTTTAAAGCAAAGACAATTTTAAAAATAGTTGAAATGTAACACTTCCTAACTCATGTCTCATCTGTAGCACACTGCTGTGTGCAAAGTTCCCAATCCACTCTTTAAAAGATTCAATGTTAAGTTCAAAAACCAAAAGTAACAAATATTGAATAAATTCTGTGGCATTTTGTGAAGTTGGCACAAGGTTTCCCTGGCACCTGTGGTAGTTAAATTATAAGCACCATTTCAAGTTCAGGAGGTCTTGTATGTGTACTTAATCGTAGAAGAAATTAAATTTACACCTGCTTCCTATTAGGCATATTAAATTGCAAAAAACCTCTTAATGTACTTAATAATGAATTTTATGCCCATCCTTCCTCCAACTGCTATGGTACTGCTGAAAGTTAGGAACCAAAGAAAAATTGTAAGAAACCAGACTACATTTAAAAAGATAAACACCTACTCAAGCCATTTTTCTAGTAGTCCATTCAGTTGAGTCACAAACTGCAGCACCAGAGGACATAGCTTCATTCTAGGCTCTTAACTGGGGAAGCTAAATTAGTCGGGTAGTACCCTTTAACTGTCTGCAATGAATACAAACACATTAAGCCCTCCAGAGGCCAATTCTGAACCTGCTAACTCCTATCCTGAATTGCCCTGTGAAGGAGGAATACACTGATTAGAAAAGGAATGTCAAAAGGCCAGCTCATCTCACCAGCCAAGTTCAGTGGCACGTGCCCACTGCCTCCTTCCTGACCCCTCTATTTCATAAACTTGGGTCCAAGTCCTGCTAACTCAGGTATGGCCCTGAGAAGCCAACGCACACCTCCGTGTTGAAAGAAGGGTGCAGATTCAGGAAGTGCAGGACTGGCTGAAACCTTAACCCTCTGGCACATTAGACCTATTCATACTTCAGCACATTTCTGAAAACTATGTGAGCAATACTAAGGACTTCTGAAGCAATGCTAACTGAAGTAATGTGTATCTGTTCAAGCCTTACATTTCCTTGTAGTATTTTCTGGTCTGCCAAAGGGATGAATGCATAATTGTACTGCAATTACCTGCATAGCTCTTCTTTTGATGAAAAAATTATGAGGTTAGTCATTCTTTCCAATATTTAAATGCCATAACCGTTTAGTCATGCAACATTTCTGTGATACACTGAACCATTTCTTTTTCTGGATCATTTTTCTTCTCTGATTGCAGGCTTTTTGCCTTAGAAATAAAACTTTGCTAAGTAAAATCTAATGTAAATTTAAACATGCAAAGTAATGACAGTGTGCCACAAAATTCATAACATCACAGATCACAGTTATTTGATAACACCCTAACCTTAAAGGTGTCACTACATTCTTACAAAATTTAAAAAAATACTTCTAAATTCCTGTGTCTATAATGGACACAATCTACCTATATTACACATGAACAGATCACACAAAAGTCAACAGGACTTTGAGCAAGCAAACATGATGGCATAAGTGAATTCCAAGCCCACAGTACTCCACTGTGGTTAATGGTTCCCAAGTGCCCATGCATATTTTCTCCTCGACTGGGGCCTACGTTGCATTCATTCTTACCAGGCTGTCAAATAATTCCTTTACTATCACCGTTTTCACTAACAAAAAATATATCAGTCACTCCATTATTTTTATCATATCTTGTAGGAGATGTACCCCAATACAGAAATATTTCAATATGTTGCTCTATGGCATTATATATGTTTATATTAATTGTCCAATATACCAATATGATGGAAATAGATGTTACCATTCTTTTTGTCTATCTAGGAGCTTTTTTTGTATGCACAAAATAATCTCCTGAAGTATTAGACTAACTGAATTCACCATTATACCATCTTTGTCATATTGTAACTATTCATAAAAAACACACAGATATAGATTTCTACGTACCTGCTTGTCAAATGCTATCCAAGCAGGAGCATCACTTCCCATTCCTTCAGGAAACACACTGTATTTAGGTTTCAGCTTCTGACCAGGCAACACTTCACCTCCTATTCCAGGTTTATCTTCTCCAATCAGCATAGCGACATTATTGCAAAAACCGCAGTACTGTGACTTGTGGAACTTTTCTTTCCCTATCTGTGAAAAGTTTGGAAGAAAAAGAGAAAAAAAAGTCTGGGTATTTGTTTTTAAATCTGCAAGAGACAACTATTCAGGTAATGGGGATTAATCCTGTAAAAGTTCCTGTATGATTACTTTTAACACAGAGTCTAGAAAACTGTAACAACTGGAATCCTCCAAGGGAAGTGACATATTTCAGTAGTCAATTTGCCAGCCTTATAGGCAAAAATGGAAAAATATTGCAGTAATTTACCCAGGCTGAGAGAGAGGATGATACCAGCCATTTTCCCCCACCTCCTTCCCTGCAATAAGGATTGAGGCATGTGGTAGAAAGAAGTAAGTCACCTATGAGAACTGTTGAAAAAGGTAGAGGGGAAAAGCCTTTTCTATGGATCTCCAGAGGACAAATGGAAACGGTTCAGGAGTAACCAGAGAACAGTCCGCTCTCATTACTTATGTCAAAGATCTATTTACACTTGTATCCCCGAGTGCAAAATAAATAGTTCTGTACTAGTGAATACACTTGAATTTTGGGAGGTTGGATCTAAATCAAAAGACGGAATATTCATTCCATCTGGGCTTATTCCAAAAGAAGGTCTCTGTAGTTATTTCTTTATATTATTACTATTTTTCCAGGCAATTAAGGATAAAGTGCTTAAAAAAATATGCACAACCAACTGCAAAGAAACCCATCTTGCCTACTCACATTTCTTGGCTGGGGCTGGAGCCAGTCTTGAAGTGATGCAGAAAAGACTCTGGCTTTACATGAGTATCAGTCCTGCCCATGGGAACGTCCCTCCTAATGAGCTGCCTGCTTTCCTGGCCAGTTCCCTCAAATGAAGGCAGCCAGTGTAAGCAGTGCTCGGGCAGCGATCCCCTCATGACCCCACACATCCGTTTCACACGAGAGGACAGGGAAATATGAAAAGCCAACAGAAAGCTCCACTAACCCTTCCTCCCATAAGCAGCAGTCCTGAACTCATTAGCTCCTTTAGCTCTGCTATTCCTCCCTTCCTTGCCCTCTCCAATCCTTGAAAAACTTTGGGAAGGTGGAGAAGGGTCTCTGGGTAACTGCACGCCAGCACACCCAGTGAGGGGAGATGGAGACCACCACAGCTGTGCCCTCCCTCGGCCTGGGACTGGGCGAACATGAGAGAAGATGAGGCTGAAGGAGGAGGAACTAATGTTATGGGTGAGCACAGAGAAGGCCCTGGTTAGAGGAAAAGGCTGGACAGCAAAATTTGCACAGTAGCACTGGAGTAGGTACATCCGCAAAGCAGCAGAGGGACAAAACTGACTCTCACTTGGAAGACTGTGCAACACTAATTATCACATGCATATACATATTTAAACCAGTACTCCCCCAAAAAGTGTAGCCAACTCTATGTTACTATCAGGAACCAACAAAATGGCCAAGAAACACAACATAGGAAAGGAACAGATCATTGCTTTTCATTATGGCAACGTTCAAGCACTCCAAGATAAAGTAACACATGCTCAGCACAGCAGTTCTGGGAGCAAGTGCGAGCACTGAAGCAGCAAAATCTGAAAGTAACCAAGTAGTTATTTCATTCTGCCAATATAAGAGATCTTGAGTAAGGAAGCTGCTAACCACCCTCATGGCTCATACCATTCAACACGCGTATATACAAGCTAGTGCACACTGCGAGCACACTCTGAGCCGTTCACCTGCCTTGCACTGCTCTAAATCCGATGACACAGGATGGAGAGCTGCCCTTGACACAAACAGCTCAATCGCTACCTTAGCTTAACCTTTGCTTAAAATCCTTTTTGTACCACTTGTGTCCTTTTGCAAGGACAACGGTATGAAAAATAATTAACTACTCACTATTTTTGCAACTTATTAATACCATAATAATCTATGGCCATACCTTGCTTAGGTTAACAAAAGCAGGGCTAGCCAGCACCCTTTGAAACAGTCATTGCAAAATGAGGTAAGGTTTGCATACAGGTGTCTGTAATGGAGTATGGAAGCACTTCCTCAAAAAAGGTTATTTAAAAGGTAAGCAATGTTTTGAAAAGGAGTGAATAAAAGGGCACATGGCAAGTCTCATAGTGTAAAGAATAATAAATAGGGAAAAAAAAAAAGAGGTATTCCTGAACCACATAACTCAATAACGAGGGTTACTGAATAAAAGAGAAAATCAATAAAAGGAAATGCTTGTGTAATGACTAGTTAGCCCATGGGCCACCCTGCCACACAGCATTGCTCAAGCCAGGAATTTAACAACATTTTTTAAAGAGCTGCATATTTGCAGGAATAAATAATGCCCAAAATAAAATATTTCATAAAAGCACTTTTTGAGCTGCGATATAAAATGTCATGCTTCAGTGTGCAGTGTAAGCACTGACATTTAGGCATTAGAAGCATATCTCCATGTGGTCATCCCACCCACCCCCCCTCGAGAAGTGAGCACAGGCGCTCTCCTGGTACGGGACTCTGGAACAGAAGGACACTGATAATGTCAGGCACCCGCTTTGTAACACATCTGCATTTGGGGTGGTTTCCTACTCTCCTTTGAGTGCTACTGAGCTGCTCTTTCTCCTTCTATTTCTTTTTATAAGAATTTTGTTCCTCAGTAGGCTGACAAAGAGCCGGGGAGAAGTCAGAACAGGAGGAGCTTTCTGCATGTATCTGTTCAAATGTGGAATAACTATAGTCAAGCTGAGCTTTAAAAACGAAATTTCTAGACAGAAACATCTGACTTATACTGAAGGTGCTACAGAACAGATCCATTTTTTGGCACAGCAAGTATTTAATTATTTTTGCCCTATTACCAAAGCATGAGTTAGAGTTAAAGGCAGAGTTATCAAAGCACAGTGAGGGTTGCAGTTTTCCTGAGCAAAGGAAAGCTTTCCATGTCCTCAAAGCTTCCTCTAGAAGCATTTGCTGTTCATCGGCTTCTGGGTTTTGGCAAGCTACAGTGTAGTAAAGTGTCATCAAAGTAATCCAGCTTTTCTGCTGCTGGAAATTTTCCAGAATTTAGGGATGAAATCAGAACATCATTCACAATTCGATATGAAAAATACATGGCCCAATAGCTGCAATTCTGTTAAGAATCTTTTGTGGCATTCTTGTAACTTTTTAGGGTTTGACAGAAAGGTTATTTTAGATTCCTAATCATAGAATTACTTATAAGCCCCATCTCCATGAATGGAGAAGGGCTAAATCCATATGCAAAATAATATTGTCTGAAAGTCTGTATAGTTACTTCTTTAAAAAAAAACCAAAACAAAAAAACCCTAAACCACCACCACTACCAACAACAACAAAGAAAGATGAAGAAAAAGAGTAATTATAATTGAAGATCACAAAAAAGAAAAATGACATTTGGGAAACTTCAGCTAATGAGTACAGACCACATCCAGCCTAAAATAGTGACAGAACATCATGTTACCTCCACAGTAATACTAAATTACTTCTAAAAGAA